GGGATGTCTCAGGCAGACGTTACCTTCCAGGCTGGGGCCCCGGGGCAGCCATCCCGCTGTGGGCACTCTGGCGGGACATCACTGGGAAAGGCTGTTGGTCAGCAGGGTCCCACCCTGAGTGGTGGAGACAGTGGTATGATATAACAGTTTTTCACCAGGATGCAGGAGCGGAGGAGGCGGGGAACAGCTTCCCGACGCATGTAGGGCTTTGTCAACAGGGTCTGTCAACCTGGCCCTGGCCTGGCCTGTCTTTTTAATGGCATCCTCCCTGGCACTCTGGCTGGTTTCCTCCTGCATTAGGTTAGCTCAAACACTGAGCCTCCCAGTGTGTGATATGAAGCAAGGGGGCAGCTCACAGCACTGGGGCACAGCAGCAGTGGGCGTGCAAGGGCACGACTGGAATTTCATGACCATCTGGATCTTATTTGGGCCCCTCACGCCCCCACAGACTTCAATTACCTGCATGTTCAAGTCATCATTCAAAATCAAAATAATGCACAGAAATTGGGTAAACAAAAGCCAACTAATTATTGTAATCAAGAAACTGGTTTTCAAAACACTCCCTCCAGCAAGTGAGCATTCCAAAAACCTCAGGGCCACATTCCCAAAGGTTATCCCAAACTGCCCTCACAGTAGCTAAGAGCACATTTATTTGCATGCACACAAACCTCAATTGCTTGCAAGTGTATCCCCTCCTTTCAGGTGCAAAAAACTGCACTGGCAAGGGCATCGTTTTGCATAAACAAAAATCCACATTTGCAAGTGCATTTGTGTGCACAAACAGAGTTGTCAGCTCTCACAATCTGAGTTGTAAAGCTCCAGCTCCTGGAAGCATGTGATGGTGCGAGAACCTCAGCTTTCCTTTACCAAAAAAAGCAAGTTTCTAGCCCTCGCAGTTGTGGAGAAAAGCCCGAAAACAGGACCCAAGTGCCCCCTAAAGGCTCAGAAATCAGAAAGCAAAGAAAAAGAGCCCCAGTTATTTTTGAAAGCCAATCTCATGGTCTCTGGAGCCTGCCTCCTGAGTTCTGAACGCGGGCAGCTGACCAGACTGCAGAAACCTGCATGATTTATCACAGATTTTCATTGAGCACTTGGAAGCAGAATCTTTGGAGATTTTGGCTCCATCTGTCCTGGTGGTGATACAAGTCTAAAAGGCCAGTTAGATCTACTCTAATAGAGCCAGAACCACCCTCAGGAAACCTCAACATGACTGGTGCCTTTCCTTAGGTCCTGGCTTCCACCACTCAGTGCAGCTCTCACTGTTGGCTGTAAGACACAGCACGTGTTGGGCACAGAGATGGGCAGAATGGCCCTTAGCCGGGGGCCCCTCCGGCCAGCCAGTAGCTAGTGGGTGAGCTGATCGACCATGTTATGGTGACGCGTCAGTCCCTGGGAGCGGAGGGAAGTGTTCGCAGCTGCCCTTGAGAGTGCTGTAAGTGAACCTGGAGTGCTGGGGACACGCTGTCCCGTGGCCTTGCCCTGGGGTTGCAGGCTCTGGATTTCGCACTGCACGCGCCCGGTAACTCAGACAGAACAAGCACAGCTGATGCGGATGTCGAGCCTGGGCTTTCTGCAGAGGCAGCCAGGAGAGGGGGGCCCAGCAGGCAATGCCTGGGGCCCAGTGAGGGTGAGGAAAGGCAAGGTGGGGCCAGGAGGGGCAAGGATGTAGCAGCCTTTGCTTCCCATCACCGTGCTGCTCTTCTGGAGCCCTGCTTTCGCCCGTCTCTGCTCGGAGGCTGGAGAATCTTCCTAGCCAGTCTAGGGTTCCCATCCTATCTCCATTCCACTCCTCAAGCCCTGCCCTCACTCCCCCACTCCACTGCTCCCTTCATGGCCAGCACTTCTGCACTCACCCCCCCCACACACACTTCCCGTGTCACTGCCACACACGCCTGGAACCCACCAGCTACTGCCCCGTGAACTCACCCCTCACCCTCCCGCAGACAGACCCAGGTCCCCTGCTCACTGCGCTCTCCCTATTAGTGGCTCCAGAGAGAAGCTGCTCTCCAGCCAGCTCTGAACCCCGAAGGCTCGCAGGACTCCGGGGATGGTCAGGAGGCCCAGCGGGGAAGGTTGCACATGGCCCTGCCCTAGTGTCAGGGCTAATGGCATCACAGCGAATCGTCAGGGAAAAGCTGAGAGCAGGCAGCGACTGGAGGTAGCTCCAAGCCCCAGAGAGGGGTCAGGGGAAAGAGGGGGTGGTTAAACAATTTTAGATCAGTGAATACACATCTGTGGGTAGGGCACTGCTGGAGCCCCTCATCCAACCCATTTGCTTGCCTTTGGAGTCCTATTCTACCTGCTTTTGTCAATTTCCCATCTTTTCGGTCTGCCACCTCTTGAGGGCATAGCCAATGCAGCCACGACAGGGCCCGATCCTGTCTGGGGCCCTGGGTGCTACAGCAAGACAATCCATCGTAACGAACTCGCTCCCGTCTGCCTTCTGAGATCGCCAATCTTTACTGAGGCTAGGTCTACACTGCAGCGGGGGTCCGACCTAAGATACGCAACTTCAGCTACGTGAATACCGTAGCTGAAGTTGCGTATTTTAGGTCGACTTACCTGGCTGTGAGGAAGGGGAAAGTCGACCGCTGTCGCGCTGCTGTCGACTCCGCTGCCGCCTCTTGCCGCGGTGGATTTCCGGAGTCGACGGCAGAGCGATCAGGGATCGATTTTATCGCGTCTTCACTAGACGCGATAAGTCGATCCCAGAAAATCGATTGCCTGCCGCCGGACCCTCCGGTAAGTGTAGATGTACCCTTAGTCACCTACAGGCACTTTCAGCCTTCACGCCCTCCGAGCAAAGCCTTTTCCCTGAGAATCTGCTCTGCCCCTCCAATCAAATGTTAACAAAGCCCCATGGGGACAGCAAGCAAACACTCCCATGACAGCAAGGCCCATCAGTACAGCCTTCTCCGCAGCATTGACCCAGCCAGGCTGCACAGCCTGGAGAACTTACCAGACAGCTTGAGAGCAAACAGGAGGAAGTGGCGCCTATCTGCTAGGGAGCCAGAGCAGCCAATCTGCCCAAAATGTGAAGCAAAAGCCCTGGGACTTTGCCCTGCCAGGAGAGTGGGGGGTACACGCCACTGAAGAGTTCGGCTCCCTGAACTTGTGGAATTTCCTGACTTCATCACTGCATTAACATCAGCTTTGGCATTTCACTTCCCTGGATTTACTTAAGGAAAAAGAAAATACGAAGAGGCCAGTGCTGCTGAGCTGCTCTGCTGCTGGGATCTCCTGCTGCCGCTCCGCTCTCGCTGCACACCCCTAGGGAGCTGGGGACAAGGAAAGAGCGTGCTGGCAGATGACACAATACTGAGGTTAGTCAAGACTAGGAAGGCCAGCAAGCCCTAGCTGAGTGAGGAGAATGGCTGGAGTGACGGCAGGGGAAAGTGTCTCGACAAGAGCATGGTAATGCCTGATCTGTGATTCCTTCACACCGGGGGGCTGAAATGGATCTGAATGGCTCAGGTTCGACCCAGGCATGACTGGAACAGCGAGTGTGCCAGCTCGTCACTCAGCAGTGTGCAGAACAGCTGCAGAGGACTGGGATGGAGACCAACTCCAAAACCGGTGCCATGGAGAGCAAGGCTGGCACCTGCCTGGGAGACTTGGGTTCAATTCCCTGTGCTGCACAGACTTGGGCTCTGTGCCTCAGTGCCCATCTGTCCAGCGGGCAATAGCCCTGCCTGGCCTCCCAGGGGTGTGTGGGCATGAATACAGTGCCGGCTGGGAGGTGCTCCGTTGCCACCGGCTGTGTGGGGAGTTCAGAGAGCTAGGATCTGTTATACAGATATGGGGCATTCCCTGACCTGCAACAGTGAGGTCAGGTCTGGTTCCCCAGGAATTGAAGGAGGCTCAGAGGTAAGTGCCCACAATGCCGAGAGGCTCCATCTGAGGACGGGGAGTTTCAAGGGCTGGGTGGCCTCTCACTGAAATCTATAGCTCGACTCCACTGGGAGCAGAGTTACCCGTACGCTGAGCTCCTGTGACCATTCCCCCTGACTCTGCTCTGTTTGGAGAGGGGATGAATAGGAGGGGACATGACAGGGCCATGTCAAAGACTGAATGGGATAAGAAAGCGGGTGGGAGCTCCGTCTCAGTGAGAACCAGGGGAGGTACACTGATGATGAAAGGCAATGAATCTAACGCTGATCAAGGGAAATTCTTCATTTTTACCCAGAATGGACAATGAGCATGTGGAACTCCTTGCTACAGGATGTTATGGGGCCAAGAGCTTGGTAGGATTCAGAAAAGGGTTATAGATATTATGGCTAACGAAAATATCCCCAGTTCCATTACAGAGGACAAAGCTGTGCCATGGATGTACAGCCACACATCGTTGGCCATAGCCTATGGAGTCTGGTCAGAGCAGAAGCTGGCACACCAGGCTGGCAGAGCCTTGGGGCAGCGCGGTGAGGCACCTGCGGACGTGACTGCACATCGAAGGAGGGTATGTGCCTGTGCCTGCTCCTGTGTGCTCTGTGGCTGTGCTGGATGGGTGCTCACTCAATCTCCTCTCTCTCTCACAGCAAGGCCAAGGCATGCACTTACAGCTCTGAGAGCCTGCTGGGATGGTGTGGGCTGCAGGAAGCGCAGCCCTGACTTTGTCCTGCCACAGGGGCAGAGAGGGAGCTTTTACTGCCTACCCAGGCCTAAAGCACTGAACTGAGCCCTGGCCTCCAGCAGCTGCTTCCCTCCCCAGGACTATCTCCTCCTTGTCTCGGTCTAGAGACAACCACCCTCCTACACAGCGATCTCATCGTCCAGGCTGTCCCCCAGGCCCTGCGTGTGCCGCACGTTGAGCAGACGCGGTGGCTCCTCCTGGGCCCACGAGTCGCGCTCCTCGCTCTCGTCTGTGTTGGACTCGTACTCCGAGGCAATGCCCGACTCACGGAACTTGATGAGCTCCAGGCTGCCCAGGAGCGGCTCTGACGGTGACGTGGCGCCTGGGGGGAAGCGGAAGTACTCCAGCTTCACCAAGCAGTCACTCCTACCTATGGGGCTGCCCAGGGCATGGGCGGAGTCAGGGCCAGGGCCCAGCAGCGGCAGGTGGAGGTCCTCAGGCTTTGGGGTGGTGGGGTCGCACAGCACCGGCAGGGCATTGCAGCGGTAGGTGATCTCCAGCAGACTGTCCTGGGAGCCTACTGGAAAAGAGGAGGGCAATCGGAGCGGGCATGGCCTAGGGCATCACTGACCCCTCATACAGGCTGGCAGACAGCTCCCAGGCACACAGGCCTACTCTAGATCTCAACCCATGGCCAAGAGCCCCATTGCCCACCCCGATCGCGGTGCTTTTCACATGGGGAACTGAAGCCGATGGAGGGTGGAGGGGTAGGTGGGGATCTAGCTGAACGAACAGCAACAGGGAAAAGCATGGACAGCCCTCAAAGATAACCCTCTCCAGCCCCCACGCACACCCCTCCTCACCCCCAACATGTGTACATGGCCCTGCCCCAATAACACCCAGCCCCCACACACCCGCACCCCCAACATGTGTACATGGCTCTGCCCCAATAACACCCAGCCCCCGCACTCCCACCACGCACAATCACCCTCCACACTACTAACTTGTGCACACGGCCCTGTCCCAATAACACCCAGCCCCTGCACCCACGTGCGCACACAGCTGCCCCTGCAGAGCTGAGGGAAGTACACGCAGGGACTCTCCCCGCAGGGTGCCCATTATAAATTCTCTCTCCCTGGGCATCCTGGTGCTGGGACCAGGAGATATGGGGCAGTCTCTTGCATGCCACAAACCCTGGGGTGCAAAGGGGTGGGGCTGTCTAGTCACCGTGGGTCTCACCCCCCACCCCACAAGGAGATGTGGTCACTGCAGGCCTGAGTCAGGCAGTGAGTCGGGGCACTGACCCCTGGGAACTGGGCTGAGATGTATGCATGGCACGCCCACCCTGGCCATGGTCTGTGCTCAGCCTGGGCTGCTGGGCACGGCTCTGTGGCGACCCCTCCCACTGGCGTTCATGGGGATCCCCTCTCCAGGGAGTGCTGGGGCCCATGGCACAGGCACACCACCGGAGCGGGGGAGAATGGGAAGGGATAGGGAGTCCCTTGTGCCCTGGTGGATCAGCACAGGGCCCAGCAGCAAACACCTCCATGCTGTGCTCCTGGGTCCCTGTGCTGGCTGGGGGCCACAGCAAGTCTGGGGAATGAACTCTTACTGGTGTTGCTTCCTGACAGCTTCAGCTCCAGCTCCTGCACCTGCCTGACCAGCAGCGAGATGTGCTGGAGCATGTCCTTGTTCTGCAGCAGGAGCTGGTGCACGCGCGCCTGGGCCTCCAGCCGAGCTGCTGCCTCTGCAGCCAGCTGGTCCTTCAGCAGGTGAACCTGCCGGACAGACACGGAGACACAGCGAGTGGGTGCGTGCCAGGCCAGGCTGCCTGCCCCGAGCCAGGGGTCTGAGCCCGGAGCTTCAGGCTAGAGTGAGATTCATGCACCCTGCCCGCAGCCCCAGCCTCCAGTGTCTCCAGTCAGACGCCCATTCCCTTAGCCACCTGTTCTCTCAGCCAGGCACAGGGGTGGCTGTCTGCAGAGTGGGAGCTCAGGCCCAGCCCAGAGAGACTCTCCCCTGGGAGCCATCCCCAGTGATGGGAGCTGCTGCCCTGGGCTGGGGACATCGCCAGCTGCTCTGCTCTGGGGCAGCAAGCAGAAGAAGGAGGAAGAGATTTATACTGGTCTGTGGAAGTCCTGGACCCACAAAGCCCTTCCAGACTTTCCCCAGAGTGCTGGTAAGTCCATTCCCCAGTCCAGTCCCACAGGAACCCCACAGCCACAGGGCAGCATGGGACAGGGGGCATGCTAGCATCTGTCCCCTGTCCACACTGCATCCAGCATGGAGCCCCTTCTTCTTCACACTAGGGCTCCCAGCCATGTGGCAGATTTGTCTGGCCCAAGCAGAGAGACACTCCCACAGAGGCTGTGCTGAGACTGGGTGGGGAAGAAGGAGCACTGGCACCTGCTGGCAGTGATGGAATTGCAGTTCAAAGCTGCAGGCGCCAAGGCATGCTGTCAGGAGCAGGGGAGCTGGAAGTTCCCATTGGGACAGCTGCCCGTCCCCACGTAGAGGGGCAGCCCCGTGGTTTTCAAAGGCCGTTCAGCTGCAGGTGAGGGCCAGGCTAGCTCATCTTGAGACAGACTCTCCCTGGAACCCTAACCATGGCTCCCTGGAGCCTCCAGTGAAACAAGGGTCTCTGGGTATGTCCACACTGCAGTTAGGCAGCAGCCTGTGTGTGGCTGGCCCCTGCCAGCTGACTGGGGCTCCATGCAGGGCCGTTAAATTTGCAATGTAGATGCTGGGCTCTTGCATCCTCTCACCTCACAGGGTCCTAGAGCCCAGACTCCAGCCCAAGCCCAAATGCCTACACTGCAAACAGCCCCTTTGCCTGGCCCTGCAACCCATGTCATCTGGCATGGGCCAGCTGCGGGGTTTTAACTGCAGAGTAGACAGACCCATTGAGACCTGAGACCTGGAGCTGATTTCCCCCCCGCAGCAGCGTCCCCTGACCTCTAGGTCCATGGCCGACCCTGAGCACCAGAGAATGCAGGGCCCTGCTCCAGAAGAGCTCTGCCTAGCCCAGCCCAGGCCACGGCAGTCTGGACAATTCCTCACTGCATTTACATTCCTGCTGAGCTGCACAGCTCTGCATGAGGGTTGTAGCCAGGACCCTGTCCCCAGCTCAGGCGACAAGGGCAGTTGATACCCATGATATTTCACTGGCCCACACACCCCACAGAGCAAACAAGCCCTCAGCGCTTGTCAGGTGTGAGACCTAGACAGTAGGATCAGTGCACTCTGCACACATTAGCCAGCCTCTGACTGTCAGTCCTAGTAAGCTGGCCGGGCCGAGCTAGGCTGTGTGCCCCTCTGGCCCCTGGGATGTGGCATCCCATCGTGTGCCTCCACACAGTGGGGCCAGCAGTGCCGGGGGCTGTTGGTGCTGCCTGCCCCTGCCCATAGCACAGGGGATTGGCTTGCAGTGCAGTGAGGTTCCCGGAACGCTATGGGTGAGTCACTGCAGGGGCAGCTGGGCCGGGGGCAGGGCATGTGGCTTGGGGAAGGTTGTCTGCGGGTTCCCTGATGCCCCTGGCACAGTGCGTATGGGGGGCAGCTCTACTCCTTCCTTCAGTCCCACAGCTCTTGCTGTCTCCCTGACTTCTCTTCTGAGCTGCCTCCCCTCAAACTGACTGGTGCCGTGGCCCAACTGGATCTGCCAGGTCCTCTCCCTCCCCCCGGGCTGTCCCTGCTGAATTCCCTTCCTCCACCCAGGGTGACCTCGGGCTCTCTCCTCCTGTGATACCCAACTCCCACCCCTCAACCGTGGCTAAGATCAGACCTATCCCCTTGTCCAGGCCCACACCAAGGCCCGCCCGCATCATCATAACCCAATGTCCACTTGTCCCTGCAGCCATTCAGAACACAGCTACCCTCCCTCCACCTCCGCCCGGTTTCAGACCCCTCCTCTGCCTGCTCCTCCCTTCCTGCATCAAGGCCAAGCTCCTTGGCTGTGCCTCCAGGGCTCTGCCACTTCTGGCTTATCCGCCCGTGTCCATTTCCACCCCACCCTTCCCAGCACACCAACCTCTCACACAAACCCCTCCACATGGCCCCCTGCGCATGCACTGCTGCCTGCACAGCCCCGCTTGGCCCCGGCACGCCGGGGCTCTAACAACCACACTGGCAGCACCTGGGCCATGGCCACTTGTGTCTGTTGCGTCTGTTGCTGCAGAAGCTGCCGGAGAAGCTGCATTTGGTGATGAGCGGAGAGAGGGGTCCCCAGGTCCGGCAGCTGGGAGGAGGAGGGGAGCAGCAGCTTGGGCGATGCAGTCAGGATACTCTCGGAGTGGAGGGAGTCCTGGAAAATATAGAGAAAAGCAAAGCCTGATCCACTCTGTGTGCTGCCCCTCAGCATGCTACAGACACTCTAGTAACTCACTCCTGGCCGAGCTGAGACCCCTGCGGGCCGGGCTGGTAGGTGCCTCATTCCCTGTACTCCCACAGCCCTGTCTGTCTGTAGCCATCTGTTACTCTTGGCTGACCCTTCGATTGTCAGCTCTCTGGGCCAGGGACTGTAGCCCAGACCTGCATGAGTATATAGTGCCTAAGTCCCACAACAGTGCACACCAGCGAGACCTGCTGTGTGCGAGAACAGCATTAACAGCTAATCACAACACTAACCCTTAGCAGTCCTGGGCAGCACAGCATGGGGAGGAGGTGACCAGCCCTCTGTGGAGAAAGAAGTGGTTCAGGACTATTTAGAAAAGCTGGATGAGCACAAGTCCATGGGGCCGGATGCACTGCACCCGAGGGTGCTAAAGAAGTTGGCAGATGTGATTGCAGAGCCATTGGTCACTATCTTTGAAAACTCATGGCTATCGGGGGAGGTCCCGGATGACTGGAAAAAGGCTAATGTAGTGCCCATCTTTAAAAAAGGGAACAAGGAGGATCCAGGGAACTACAGGCCAGTCAGCCTCACCTCAGTCCCTGGAAAAATCATGGAGCAGGTCCTCAAGGAATCAATTCTGAAGCACTTAGAGGAGAGGAAAGTGATCAGGAACAGTCAGCGTGGATTCACCAAGGGCAAGTCATGCCTGACTAACCTAATTGCCTTCTATGAGGAGATAACTGGTTCTGTGGATGAGGGGAAAGCAGTGGATGTGTTCTTCCTTGACTTTAGCAAAGCGTTTGATATGGTCTCCCACAGTATTCTTGCTGGCAAGTTAAAGAAGTATGGGCTGGATGAATGGACTATAAGGTGGACAGAAAGCTGGCTAGATCGTAGGGGTCAACAGGTAGTGATCAATGGCTCCATGTCTAGTTGGCAGCCAGTATCAAGCGGAGTGCCCCAAAGGTCAGTCCTGGGGCCGCTTTTGTTCAATATCTTCATTAATGATCTGGAGGAAGGCATGGATTGCACCCTCAGCAAGTTTGCAGATGACACTAAACTGGGAGGAGTGGTAGATACGCTGGAGGGTAGGGATAGCATACAGAGGGACCTAGACAAATTAGAGGATTGGGCCAAAAGAAATCTGATGAGGTTCAACAAGGACAAGTGCAGAGTCCTGCACTTAGGATGGAAGAATCCCATGCACTGCTACATACTAGGGACCGGATGGCTAGGCAGCAGTTCTGCAGAAAAGGACCTAGGGGTTACAGTGGACGAGAAGCTGGATATGAGTCGACAGTGTGCCCTTGTTGCCAAGAAGGCTAACGGCATTTTGGGCTGTATAAGTAGGGGCATTGCCAGCAGATCGAGGGACGTGATCATTCCCCTCTATTCGACATTGGAGACGCCTCATCTGGAGTACTGTGTCCAGTTTTGGGCCCCACACTACAAGAAGGATGTGGAAAAATTGGAAAGAGTCCAGCGGAGGGCAACAAAAATGATTAGGGGGCTGGAGCACATGACTTATGAGGAGAGGCTGAGGGAACTGGGATTGTTTAGTCTGCAGAAGAGAAGAATGAGGGGGGATTTGATAGCTGCTTTCAACTACCTGAAAGGGGGTTCCAGAGAGGTTGGATCTAGACTGTTCTCAGTGGTAGCAGATGACAGAACAAGGAGTAATGGTCTCAAGTTGCAGTGGGGGAGGTTTAGGTTGGATATTAGGAAAAACTTTTTCACTAGGAGGGTGGTGAAGCACTGGAATGGGTTACCTAGGGAGGTGGTGGAATCGCCATCCTTAGAGGTTTTTAAGGCCTGGCTTGACAAAGCCCTGGCTGGGATGATTTAGTTGGGGATTAGGTACTGCTTTGAGCAGGGGGTTGGACTAGATGACCTCCTGAGGTCCCTTCCAACCCTGATATTTTATGATTCTATGATTCAGTCACACAGCTCTGCAGTTCCAAAGCATCACACAGCTGTAGGCTAATGCATTGGAGCCAGAACAGCCGTAGGGAGCTTAGTCTCTAACCCCAGTTACACCTCCGACTTCAGTGCAAGCTAGGAGCCTAAGGAACTGACCTTCCTCGGCAGCAGCTCTGTCCTCCAGCTGGGCGCAGAGCAGCCCACTGGGCAGGCCAGCAGGAGGCAGACAGTGACAGACTGTGATACCTAGGTGCTCGCTCTCCCTGCCACTGGGGCCGGCTCTGTGGCTCAGGCTGACTTTGCTCCAGCAGGTGCTCCCAGCAGGATCCTTCTGCCCCCTGAACGGCCACTCGGCCCGGTGAGCTGCCCTGAGCACGACGCTCTCAGCCTGAGTCACCTGAGTGCACAGAGCCAGCGGCCACCAACACATGCTCCAAAGCCAGAGTCAGAAGGGCGGCCCCAACCTCACTTGGGGTGGGTGGAGGTCAGAGATTTGCACCTCGGCTCACAGCCTTGCCCTAGTTGCCAGCAGCTTCCAGGGGTGGGGGCAGGAGGCAGCTCCCTGTGTGAGCCCTCCTCAGCAACCCGTTTCTTCGCCTTCTGGCTTGTGAGCCCTTGGATTCCCTGGGTTGGGTTTTCTGACTTTCTTCTGCAACCCAGGAGGCCAGACACTTCCTCTTCTGAACAAATGGAAGCTGAGACTGTCACGCATTCATGGGCCTCCAGGAGCTGGGGCTTTACAAACACACCAAATAGCGATAAAATGGCAAGAGCTGGTGCCACTGGCAAGATGCTCCCTGGGGACTGGCTCCCAGACAGGCTCTTGGTGTCTCACGGCTATGTGTAATGCCGACACACTCAGTTGTTGGTGGCCGGGATCAAACATAGCTCTTTTAGCCAATGCTGTAGCTAGCTCATCACTCTCTAGCTCAGTGGTTCTCAACCAGGAGCACCCCTGGAGTACTCAGAGGTCTTCCAGGGAGTACATCAACTCATCTAGGTCAGTGTTCTCAACCTGGGGGTTGCAGGATGGGTTTAGAGGGGTCACAAGTGCTGGGTTTCCCCCACAAGGCATTAGGGGTGGACACCACACCATAGGGGGCCCTGTAATGCTGTTACGTGCTTCAGCACCAGGCAGCAGGGCTCGAGATCCAGGGGTACAGTAGTCTGGAAAGGTTGAGAACCGCTGCTCTAGCTGGTATAGGTGCCACAAGAGTGGGACAGAGTGCCACACCAAGCAGGCCTGGATCACATAGGCAGTGCCCTGGCTCTTCACGCCAGCCGCACAGAAGCTCACTCTGCTGGCTCCGTGACATGCTATATCGCACCATTCCTCTCTCCTCCAGCACTTTGGGCAGCAGTGGGACTGCCCTGCCCTGCCCTGGGTGGAACAGATGGCCCCCAGCCTTGGAGGAGCCATATGGGTCCTACCTCCCCTGACCCCGTGGCACCCCACTAATGACACAGGTGTCAAGCCTCAATGCACGTGGCCTTACTCACAAAAGGCTCACTGCTGGGAGCACCAGTGCGAAGGGCTTCACAGCCTCTGGTGCATTGGGAGAGCGGTTCTAAGCACCACAGTGCGGTGGTTGCAGGCTCCGCCCCCCCCTCCCCACGAGGGAAAGGGAGAGCCAGGAATGATGGGGGGAGGGGGGGGCACTGGCAGAGCCCAGCAGAGCCGCGTGCTCGTAAGCTGGGGATTCACATGGCGCTTTCCCTACCAGACAAACCACATAGCCAGCTGTGTGGCTACGTCGGTGCCATGAGCATGGGGCCCATGCACCTCCACCCCGACTGTTCAACTCTCATGCCCCGAGGGTGGCCATTCTAGGGGATGCAGGGCAGGCAGGAGCGATGGGACCATCCCCTCATCAATACCTCTCTGTGTGCCAGAGCACTGCCGGCTGACAGGGAAGGACTTGGGCCCACTGGCTAGAGAAGGGGACTGGGAACCAGGACGTCTGGCTTCTATTCCCAGTACTGCTACCAACTTGTCATGTGAGCCACGGCCCGCTCCGTGCCTTGGTTTCCCCACACTCCAGTGGGTACTCATGTACCTTGGATGGGGTTTGTGTGACTGAATTAGGGCATGCTTGTACAGTGCTGTGTGATCTACGAGAAGAGGGACTGGGGAGGGGAGAGGTTTATCATCCTGGGGAGCCCCTGGTTCTCTGAAACCCCCTTGCAAGATGGTGCTCTGGCCAACTCTTCCCTCGCCATGGCACTCACTCAATCCTGATGTGCCCTGGACGAGGACCTGGCCTCAGCTTTGGCAGGGCTGAGCGGGTGGGACAAATGTGCAGCACCACAGCCTAGGCGAGTTAGCAGCACGGCTGCCTGCTCACAGGGACGGCTCTGGGACGCTTGGAGTCTCTGCAGGGCGAGTGGAAAGCCAATGTCTTAGGCTGCACTGGGGACCCAACAGAGGAGTGGCTGTGGCCTGGTCTCTGAAGCACAAGCAGAACTCCTGGGTAAAGGGCGGCTCTGCTCTGCTGGCCTCTGACAATGCCCAGATGTGCTGGGTTAATGCACCAGGTGATCCTCTCCTGCCAGCAGCTGTGCACTGCCTGCACGGGCTGTGTGGTCAGGCAGAGGGAGATGCAGCTCCACTCCTGCCGCTTTCCCTGGGAAACTAACATTGCTCCGTTCCCAGGACATGCCACTGCCAACGGGAGTGAGGGGGCGACACAGGGACTAGTTTGTGTTTGGACCGCAGCAGTGCAGGACACAGGAGAGAGGCTCAGCGCTGGGAGCTCTGGGTGAGAACAGGATGAGGGGGAGCCAATGACTATGAGCTTCTTTTATTGTCGGGGGGCTAACTGGAGGGGGGGGGAGTTGGAGAGATGGGATCAAGGAATGGCCACTGCCCCTAACAGAGAGTAACGGAGCATGACAGCTGGACTCCCACCCTGCGCTGCCCCTGCCCAGCACACCCCGCAGCAGGAGCCGGGCACTGCCAACCTCAGGGACCAGAGCTGGGTCTGCCATCTGAAGAGCCACAACCTGTGTCCTCAGGGCTCAGCATGTCCCGGGGGTTTCAGGGCTCTGCACTGACCAGCAATGGGGAAAGGTGTGTGTTTGCTGGAGACACCGTGGTGCCTAGGTTCCCCCTCTCTGGGTGTGGGGCACACACACTAGCTCTTGAAGTGGGAGTGCACAGAGGGGAGTGAACCTGGCCTCCTCCAGGGCCCCAGCAAAGGCAATTCGCCCTGGTCTGTGGGGCGGCTCATGGAAGAGGCATTTCCCATGTTGTGGGGTCTGGCCAGCCCCTCGGCTCCCCTTGTTAATGCTCTGGCAGAGTGGGGGGGATGCCAGCTGCCGCCACAAGGACACGTGCTGTTGTACCAGCTTCAGGATCACGGTGTGGCCCCCCCATCTGATCACCCCGCAGAGCTGCCACAGGTTGTTCCAGCCCCATATCTAGACATGAGCTCCCTCCCTACCCCACTGGAAGGCAGCATGAAACCCAAAGGTCTCTCTGAGCTGGGTGGGGGGGCAGTGACCCCCATGTGAGCCACAGGGGGAGAGTGTGGGGAGCTCTGGGGCTGCTGTGGGGAGAGAGCAGGGCACCCCCAGGCACAGACCCACGTCCTGCCCCTGAAGCCACCGAGCAATGCAGCTTGGATACACTCTTGGGAAGCCATGCTATCTGCGGGGACCCTGGGTCTGTATCAGGGCTCAAGGGCCACCTTTGAGGCACAGCTGCTCTTGGCTGGGGCTGGCGTACCTTGGTGTCCGGAGAGTGTCCCAAGTCCTTCCCCACGGCGTCGAGGTCCGTCACCCCCCGGCTGAACTCCAGGGTGCTGCTCCCTGGTGGAGGGATCTCCACTGCGTCGATATCGGTCTCCTCTGCGGGGACAGCTGCCTTCTCAGCTCTGGCTGGGTGGCAGGCTGGGAGGGGGCAGCAACAGCAGGGTCAGAGGTGAGATGGGACAACAGCAACTCTGCCCCAGTCCAGCTCCCCGGGGCTGAGAGAATGCGGGCTTGGCTAGCAAACAAGGCCCATTCCTCCTTGTGGGGGAAGCACCTGAACACCTGCCATGGGTCACGCATCCCTAGCTGGCAGCCCTGGCTGACGCGCCCTATGGGGCTGAAGCCCTGAGCCCCACCTCTCTGCTGGGCAGAAGTCAGAGGTGACACATGGGGGGTCATGTGGGGTCACATCCCCCACCCTCGATTTTTGCCAGGATTTGCTAGCCCCACTTGGTCACATGGTGCCGCTGGGCCCCCTCCCTGCATGGCAGCTGCTGGAGCTGGCAACCGGGGGCTGTGGCCTAGGGAGAGGCAGCAGCTAAGAGCTGGGAGCTGCAGGGAGAACTGCTGCTTTTGCTGGGGCCTCTCCATGTGGAGCTAACACCTGGGAGCTGCAGGGTGGGGCCGCTGAGGGTAAGAGGGAGGGTGTGCCTGGAGCGAGTGACTCAAGCTGTTGAGTGGAGGCCTAACCTTTAAATTGTGCCCCCCTCGCTCTCAGCAGGCACCAGTCACCTCTGGCAGAAGCTCCTAGCCCCACCACCCTGCTGCAGGGCAGAATCCCCAAGGCCCCTCTCCCCCCAGTCTGGTAGGTGGGGAATGGGGGGCTCTGCAAGCCACACTTTAACGGTAAAAGAGCCGGATGTGGCTCACGAGCCGTGGTTTGGCCACCCCTGGCATATAGCATGTCAATCCACAGGATGCCTTCCCCCAAGCCTGTAGGGCCCCCGGACTGCCCCTGCCACTCCAGTGAGACCCCTGCATTCTGCGCAGCAGAGGGAGCGCTGGGGGCAGTGTTGGCTAAATTCCCGACCAGCTCCGTGGGGTGCGGTGCTGATAATGCCATGGTGCCACAGTCTTGCTGTTATCTGATGCTCAGTTCCAGTCATTTTATGCTGGCCCACAGTATCCTGTTTTCAGTGTTTGCTGTGACACGGCATAACTGCTCGGAAAAGGTGCCTGCAGGGACTGGGGCATGGGCAGTCAGACCTAGTGGATAGACTGGGCCTGGAACCAGAGCCAGAGTTAGGTGCCAAGCCAGGGGTCAGAGCCAGAGACAGTCAGGTGCAAGCCAGGGGTTGAAGTCGGAGTCAGCATCAGGGGTAGGGCATAGGAGCAGGGACCAGGAGTGAGGCAGGAACTGGGCAGAGGTGGGGTCTGGGATAAGGAGGGCAGGGGGCAGGAACAGATTGGGAGGCAAGGTTCAGGGCAGTAGGCAGGGGACAGTGCAGCAGCAGTCAGCCAGGGATTGACCTAGTTGCTCAGACAACTTCCTGTTTCTGGTTTAAGTAGGGCATCCCAGCCAATCGGTGGGGCAGAAGTCTGCCCCAATCCGGAGCTTTGTGGGGCCCTTTGTGAAGCAGAGCTTTGCTGGCCCACTTCTGCAATCATTCAGGTGAGCTGATGGGTGGTGGTCGTGGTCTGAGCCCTGCCTGGGGACCCTCAGGTCTAGGTTCAAGGCCCAGGATCACTCACATCAACCCCTCTCCTCGGAAGTAGGGGCTGGGTTTCCAGGCTGGTTTTTGTGGAAGGTGTTTACCAGGTCAGGAGTGTGGACATTCTTTGCTGAGTCCCAGGAGCGCTCTTTGGGACTGGCAAGCCATAAGATGCCAGAGTCTAACCCGTCTGATTCTGGCATCAAGGATCTCACGGAGAATATACTCATCATGGTCATGAACATGTACTGGTGTGGGGTGATGGTTGGGAGCGGTGAGGGAATGGGTCCTGAATGTGGGGCTTCAGGAGTGATGTATGGAAAACTGGGTGTATTTGGAGAGAATGGGGCAAGTTGAGTTCAAAGATGACTGGGCTAATGTGCTGGAGAATGCAGTAGAGGCCAAAGAGCTGGTAGTCCAATTTATGAGATGGCCTGTTTGCGTGTACGTTTTTTGTTGAAAGCCATACCTTCTGGCCTAGCAAAAGGGCAGGCCCCTCCTGTCATTGACAGTCCACATGTTGTTTCTTTCTTCTAGGTGTCCTTCAGGTGAACTTTTAGGTCATCTTGGGTTTGACATATATTGTGTTTAGTCTGGGGCTGCTGAGTTGTGTGAAGTTGTGGTTAGCTCCAGGTAAAACCAAGGATGGAACCCATAGTTTGAAAAAAAAAATGGCTTTGCACTGTAGAAGCATGTTCTGCGTTATTGTACGTGAACACTTCCTGAGGTAGCAGCAAGAACCCTTTGTTCTGGTGGAAGTTTATGTAGTGTCGAAGATACTGCTCCAGAATCTGGTTGGTTCTCTCCACTTGACCCTTTGTCTGAGGGTGGTAGGTGGAAGAGAGGCAGGAGCAGATGCCCAAAATCCAGAGAGCTTCTCACATAAAGTGGGAGATAAATCACACATCGTGCTCAGAGACCATGTGCTGTGGGACGCAATGGAGGCAGACAACTTGGTCCACATAGAGCTGGGCAGTTTCCTGGGAGAAGGTTAGGCCAGTGCCGGAGTGAATGTGCCATCTTTGTGAGGTGGCCCACTACTGTTGGAGTGGCAAAAAAAACACCGGACTTGAGTAGTTCTACTAGCAAATCTAAGGCAATGACTGTCCAGGGGCCGGGGGAGTCTCGAGGGACTGCAGGAGTTCAAGGGTTCCCAGGGGTTTATTGTTCAGTGCCTTGGAGTGGGTACATACATTGCAACACAGGCCTGCATGTGAGGCCACCAGAAGATATGAGAGACAAGGCGCTGAGTTTTAAAACAGCCAAAATGTCCTGCCGGGGGCGTGGGAGGGTGTCATGGCATACTGGTAGGGCTGTAGTCCTGGGAGGCCTAGGGAGAACATATATATGCTCATTCAGTAGGTTTCCCTGTCTCGGACATCGTGGGGGTCCTTACTTATGGTTTTCTGCTCGACTGGAGGGACTCCCTGGGCGAAGGCTGATCATATGAAGGTGAGCAGATCTTGGTGGGGAGCCGTGCCCAGAAAGTTCTGAGGCTTGAGGATGGAGGAGGTTTTTGGGTTCAAGTCTTTAAGATCAGTGTTCCTTCTGGGACAAAGTGTCAGCCTTGCTAGTTTGGGTTCCTGGATGACAGGAGATTGCAAAATCAAAGTGCAGAAAGAATTAAGCCCACCGAAGTTGTTGTTGGTTGGAGACCTTGGCCCTATGCAGATATGTGAAGTTCTTATGATCGGTGTACACCTGGACAGAGTATCGGGCCTCTGCTAGATAGTGGTGCCACTCTGCAAAGGCCGTCTTAATTGCCAGGAGTTCTTTGTCCAAAATTTCGAGACGTGTGGGCGCAGCAATAGTTGAGGATTGTACCTTTGGGGTAGAACTGCTCTGATCGTCAGGTTGGAAGCTCTTGCTTTGATGATGAAGGCTTATGTGGTGTCGGGATGGACCACTTTGGGAGTGGTGGTAAACGCAAGTTTTAATTGCTTGAAGGCCTGCTGGGCCTTGGGAGGAACCTGGTGTTTTTGAGGAGCAAGGCAGTGAGAGGGGAGATCCGCTACAAGAATTTTGGGATGAACCGATGATAGACGTTTGGGAACCCCGGAAAGGCTGTAGTTCATGAACGTTCCATGGTGCTCCCCCATTCGAGGACTGCCTTTATCTTGCGTGGGTCTATTTCAGTACCCGTGGGAGATAGGATGACTCTAGGAATTCTATCGAGGACTTATCAAAGGCACATTTTTCTAGCTTCATATAGAGACTGGACAGAACAGATGTGCGTGCTGTGTTGTTTGGCACTGTCACCACGTATTGGCCCACAATGTTCCAGAGCACATCATTAATAAATGCTGAAACATCGCAAGCATTTGTCAAACCAAAGGGCATCATGAGATATTCAAAGTGCCCATAGAGTGTTCGAATGGAGGGTTTCCATTTGTCCCCAGCTCTAACTTGTACTAGGTTGTGTGCCCCCTGGAGGGCTAGCTTTGTGTGTACCCAGGCAGTGCTCATGTGGTCCATTAGCTCGGGGATTGGTGGTAACGGGTATCGGTTTCTAATGGTGATCTGATTCAGGGCTTGATAGTCCACACATAGTCTGGGCTTCCAACCTTTTTTTTAATATCAAAAAGGATTGGTGCTCCGGCAGGCAAAATGGACTTAGGAATAAAGCCCTTGGCTAGCTGGAGCAGAGTGTAGCCAGTTCGGGCTCCAACATGGTGTCCATACACCTGAATGTCTGCCCCTGGTTGTAGCTCAACTGGGCAGCCATAGTCCCTGTGGGGGGCAAGGTGTCTGCAGGCGGTTTGACGATATCTTTGCAGTCGCTGTATTTGGATGGAAGTCGAGGACCGGAATCAGTGGGCGGCTCTGTGGGGCCAGCTACCCTGGTGTGCGACTGCTGGGGTCAAGCAGTGCTGCTGGCAGAATTGTGAGATTTTAGCTTGTGCCAGCTGAGAAGGGACTTATGGTGGGCCAGCCACGAGCGATCCAGGATGAGGGGAAGTGCGGGGAATGGATGGCACCGCATGCAGGTCTCTCAATGACCTTGGATAGGAACGGTATCACTATCTGGTCTCTCGGCTCCTGGAAATGCAGGGGAGGAGAACAGGGCATGCAGGAGGAACACGTTCACTGGCTGTTCCTGCAGAAATGATTGATGGTGAAACAGTTCACGGCAAAATTCAAATTGTCAGCAGTAGGCTTCCGGGTCACCCCTCTGTGACGGGGGTGGGTGGGTGGTTCACAGCCCTCCAAATGACGATTTCAGGCTGTGAGCTGGCTTAGGATGCAGCCCTATCTCACTCTGTGCTCGGCTCACTTTCTGGAGAACTCTCCTCTGAGAAGGGCAGGCAGTCACCTTCCACAGAGTGCAGCTGTGCAGCAGAGGGATTGTACAGCCAATCACTGGGTAGCAGGAGGGCAGGATACATGGGCCCTGGCCAGCATTAGGACAGGAGCATGCAGCAGTGCTGGCCGACACTGAGGCTGTCAGTTGAGCTAAAGTATTTGCTGACATAACTCCTAGAGGAACAGCGTGAAGAGACTGTTGTATGTGGGGCCCTTGTCTGACTGGACGTCAATGGGTTTGAGAGTATGAACTGCCCTATATGTCCTGCTGGGATGATTCTGAAACCTAATGATGCTGTTTTGAGTTCAGTCCACTATAAGAGATCAGAATTATGAGGAGGAGGAGGAGGAGGGGGAGAAAGAGGCGATGAGTCTGCAACGGGGCTGCCTGGCAGTGGGTCCCTGAGGGCACAGGTCTGTGCTTAAGGGACGTCCCATGTAACGCCTTGTCTCAGCACTGGCAGGGTGAGCAGGAGGGCGAGCAGACCTGAGAACCAAGCCATTCCTCGGGGTGATGGACAAGAGAGAAATGTATGCAGGGCCCAGCCTGGCACATGGGGAAGAACACGCCAAACTGGTGCTTGACTCCTCACGAAATGCACTCGCTTAACCCTGGCGTGCACCATGCCTAGGAGAGATGCCAATGCTCCTCAGTTCTGACTCGCAGCCCCCCTGCTATCTCAGCCCTGGGCTCCCCACTCCCAGCTCTGCTATTGCCCCTCAATCCCGACCCGCAGCCCCCCTGTTATTCCAGCCCTGGGCTTCCCACCCCAGCTCTGCTAATGCCCCTCAATCCTGACCTGCAGCCCCCCTCTACCCCAGCCCTGGGCTGCCTCCCTCCCCCACAGCTCTGCTGACGCCCCCCAAACCCAACCTGTGGTACACCCAAAATCCAGTCTGCAGAGATGACCCGTGACTGATGATAGTGGGGGGCACAACCCTGGAACAGCTCAAGTCACGCCCCCCCCCGGAAAGCAGCAGCATCTCCCTGCAGCTGCCAGCTGTTCCTCCTGCCTCTGCCTCTCCCTGCCCAGCTTGCAGGCTTAGCTGCCCCACAGAGAGGGGGTCCAACCGCACCATGTGACCGATCAATCTTGGGAGGCATGTGACCCCACATGCCCCCAACCCGTCACCTCTACCAGTCTGTGCCATCTCTGTCCATCATATGGGGAGGGGCATATCCCCTTTCCGAGATCCTCCCCGCCCCATGGCACTGGCACTTGGCGCCTCCTCGGGAGACGAGCGTGCCCCCTCCCCACACACTGCCGTATTGTAACCCCAGTGACCGGTGTAACTTCGTTTTCTCGGCCCTGGCTGAGGCAACTCCTCCGAGACTCTGTCGGCTCAGGAGCTGCTTGTTTGGTGCTCACTGCGACTCGGAGCAGAGAATTCCCCGGGGCCAGACCCAGGACGGAGGCGGAAGATCTGCTCGGGGCCAGGAGTTGCTTTAATACAATGTTCTCACTTTTACGTGTGCACAAAGTAAATGTTTATGGGCTGCAAATGAGAATCCCAGGGCTGCAGAGCTGGAAGGGCCCTCGATCCAGTCCCTTGCCCCACGTCGAGGCTGGACCAGGCACACCCAGACCATCCCCAACAGGGGCTTGTCTAATATGAGCACTTGCAGATGGCACAATCCGCAGCCCCGTGAACGGGCTCCCAGCAGGGCGGAAGGTCCATAGGACGAAGGCCAGGACCTAGCAAATGCCACTCCCATCTCTGGGTTCACATCCCAGAGGGAGAGGATGTGTGCACGCCTTGTTCTCACAGCCCTCCATTAGCTGGGGCAGAATGGCACTGTCAGACACCGCTGGCCTTCGCGCCCCTGTGGGGTCCCTGCACTACCCGGCACCTGTACATTGCTCCAGGGGGGCCGCCAGCTCTGGGGGGGCAGCCCTTTCCCTGCACGAGCCACAAAACACCTGCAGGCCAAGAGCACGACTGGAGACCATGGCCTGCCCTCAGCAGGAGTTTCGAGCACAGAGCCTCTCCCCGCCTGCTGCAGTGTACCTGGGCCACCCATGTCCTCGCTGTCACCATCCTCCTGCCCGTCCGCATCCTGCTGGGTGTGCTGCAGGCTCAGCTTGTGGCAGACCTCGAAGGCCTGCCCCACGGTGCGGACGATGCGCATGGCCTGGCTCTGGGGCAGAGGAGAGAGGAGCTGTGATGATGGGCCGTAGGGATCGCGCACCAAACCGCTGCAGTTGCTGACAGCATGGGAGGCTTTGCTGACCAGAACCCCTGGGAGCATCCTGAGGCTGAGCCGGAGCCCTGGATGGCTCGAGGGCCCAGGGCTCTGCAAAGGGCTGCGTCCCAGCCACCCCCTAGTCCATGCACAAAGGGAGAGCTCTGATCTACCTTGGGGCCCTGTGGCATCATGGTCTCTAAGGCCTTGATCCAGCGAGGCTCCTAGGAACATGCCAAACTTTCAGCCCTGAGTGCTACCTCCAGAAAAGCTGCACTGGAGTTGGCAACAGTGGGTGATTTCTGTCTCGAATGCCTCTGGCCCATGCTGCACAGCTCTGCCCTCCACACAGTTCAGATCATGCCTCCACTGGCCTCTGGCCTTAGCTGGCGTTTGTCCAGCTTCGGCTCCAGGTGTCATTCTAAGCGCTCCGCCCCTCGCTCGGTGGGTGCCGACTCCCAGCTGTCGAGGATCTCTAGCAGGGATGTTAACTATCACATGGTTCCCGGTGCAGCCCCACAGCGCGATCCATTGCTGCCCATTCCCTCTCGGTGAGGAGCCCCACCTTGGTGCACAGGGCAGGGTGATGGGGGAGCAGCTGGGAGCTTTTCCCCGCTGCCCTGACAGGGAGGGGAGGGGAGAGGTGATGGCCACAGCTCTCTGAGAACAGCAGGCCGGGGCAGCGTGGTCCTGCCCTAAGGGGTCTCGCAGCCACATCAGCCTCATGCCCTGGCCAGTCCCTTCAAGGCCTGGGGAATGACAGCTCTCCCAGAGCACAGCCCGAGCCTTGCAGCTCCTGTGCAACGGAGATAGCTTGGCTGCCCGCTGCACCCTCTGACCCATCAGTCACAGCATCAGCACCTCTGCCCTGCCCGCGGTGAGTCACGTCAGGTGCTGGGAGGGGAGAAAAGCAGTGAGGAGCCGGGGGATGGCTTCGCAGCCCAGGGCTGGCTCTAGGTTTTTTGCCGCCCCAAGCAAAAAACAAAAATCCCCTCTGAGAGCGCAACTGCCGAAGCCAGAATGCCGCCCCTGAAATTGTGCCGCCCCAAGCACGTGCTTGGTTTGCTGGTGCCTACAGCCGGTCCTGTCACAGCCCAGGCCAGGCAAATCCGCTGACCCCAGGGGTGTGGTACCAAGAACCCCACACTGCAGTGAGAGGACCCTGCTGGCTCTGCCCAGTGCACGATGGGACAATGGCTGTGGGGAGGCTGGGCAGCTCCTTGCTGGCCAGTCCCAGAGGAAGTGGCCGGAAGGCTCTGTACAGCAGGGTGTGTGAGGAGGGGGCTGAGCGCTTCTGGCCTTACCGTGCCTCCAAGGCAAGGCACACCTGGAGCTCTTGGGGCTCTGCCTCGCTGCAGGCTGGTGGTGGCGCTGGAGGGAGAATCCGGGAGCTCCGGGATATCCAAGAAACAGCCATTCCCAGGACCTCCCCATGGGCACAGCGCGTTTGAGTCAGCAGCATTGCCACACCCCACCCTGCACCCTCCCAGAGACCCTGCATCCCCTCAGCCCCGCCGCAGGTACCTTCTTCTTGGACTTGAAGACGTTACACCTGAAGACGTTGCTGGAGCCGTCTCTGGCGATGTAGCTGAAGATCTTCAGGTCCTGGGAGTCGTGGGACACGTAGAATATCCTGCAGGGAGAGAAGGGAGGGACGTCTGCAATGCAAGCCCCATCTGTGGTGCTCAGTGGGCTGGAAGGCCTCACTCATGCTGCTTGTGGGGCAGGTGCTCGCAGTACTCATGGCTGAGTCAATCCACTGCTCAATGGTGAGCATGGTCTGCCCCTGCTCCCAACCCTTCACACTACCCCTATCAGCACCGGCACCGTGCTGGCTGGGGGGGCCACACAGCAGCCAGCAGAGCAGCTGGGACTGGCCGACAGCTCATCAGTGACTCACGGGTGACTGGGCCCCACAGACCCTCACAGTGAAAGGGAATGGGCCACCATATTGGGTGGACACCTGCCGTCTTCCCTAGTCACGTTTCCTCCCCCTTCCCCACACCTGGCCCTGCCAGTGCCCCCCACCTGGCCAGCAGCACCCTGTTAGCCCAGCCCTGCCCCTAAAGAGCTCTGCCCCCTGGCCAGCAGCACCCGCTAGCCCAGCCCTGCCCCCACCTGGCCAGCAGCACCTGTTAGCCAGCCCTGCCCCCACAAGGCTCTGCCCCCTGGCCAGCAGCACCTGCTAGTCCAGCCCTGCCCCCACAAGGCTCTGCCCCCTGGCCAGCAGCACCTGCTAGTCCAGCCCTGCCCCCACAGGGCTCTGACACCCTGGCCAGCAGCACCCAGTAGCCCAGCTCTTCCCCCTGGCCAGCAGCACCCGCTAGGCCAGTCCTGCCAGTGCAGCTGCAGTGATGGGGTGTAATGGGGAGGAAGCCCCTGAGGGCCTCCCCACTGGGCCAGAGGGCGGATTTGGGGCATGTGCCCTTCAGGAGCTCTCCAAAGCAGCCAGCTCCCTGGGCGAGCTAAGAGTCAGGCAATGACGGTGCCCAGTGGGGGAAGGCAAGGGGCTGGCACAGAGCATGTGCTAACCCCTGCCTTGGTTGCTGGCAGATCATGGAGCCCTGCCCTTCCCTCCCGCTGCAGGAGCTCCGTGTCTCACACACAAGGCCCAGTGGGCCTAAGGCCTGCTGGGGTTCAGGACCGCTCTGCTCCGCTCCCCTGTCCCAGGTTTGGAGGAGCACCAGTGGGCAGCTCTAATCCCTGCCAGAGAACAGTTTTCCCTCGAAGCGGCTCATTCATAGGGGCTCAGTGACTCCTGGCCTGGCTCCGATTCGGCTGCCTGTCTGGGGTGACCTTGGGGGCCCTAAAATTCCAGCACCTGCACTGCAGATGATCCCCCTCTGGGTTCTAAATACGGGGCCCAGTGGGCTGTGTGTCAGAGCCAGCACCCCCAGGGCAGTGGCTGGGCAGCATCACATCCCAGGGGAGCTTCAGGCACCCCCAGGGCACTGAGTGGGCAGCGTCAGAGCCCAGGGCAGCTCCAGGCACCCCCGGGCACTGGCTGGGCTGTGTGAGAGCCCAGGGCAGCTCCAGGCACCCCCAGGGCAATGGCTGGGCTGTTCGAGAGCCCGGGGCAGCTCCAGGCACCCCCAGAGCACTGGCTGGGCAGCATCACAGCCCAGGGGAGCCGCATGCCACCTTGAGGGGCTCTTACCTGTAGATGGGATCCTGCATCACCAGCATTTTGCTCTCGTCCCAGGTCCACTCTCTTTTCTGCAATGAAGGCAGCAGTAAATGAGGATGTTAGGTGCTGTCCATAGCTCATCAGCTCAGCACAGTGCAAGGCCCTCTAAATCTTGCCTTCCTTCTACATTTGATCTTCCTGCCCCTTCTTTACAATGCTTGACCTGGGCCCACTTCCATTCTGCCCAGGCATAACTCCTGTCCTCCGCAACTGCCTTCTCTCCTGTGTTCTGCCCCTCTGACTCCGATGGCAGGTGCCAGGGGAGTTGTAGGCATCCCTTGGGCCAGCCAGCGCTCCAAGGCATTCACGGCTTTGAGAGGCAAATCAAAAACGGGGGGGGGGGGCACTAGTGCTTGTCAATATGACTGGTGGGAGTGCTGCAGAGAGCCAGACAGCGTAGCCAGGTGCTGTGCTAACTCCCAAAGAGAACTCTTCTGGGGCACCACAGTCCTGTCCTGCTATTCCAGCCCTGGGATCCACAGTTCTGGCAATGCCCCTTACCAGTCCCCCACCATTCCAGCCATGGACTCCCCATACTCAGCACTGCTGAGCTATTCAATAGGGGGGAGGGATAGGTCAGTGGTTTGCGCATTGGCCTGCTAAACCCAGAGTTGTGAATTCAATCCTTGAGGGGGCCATTTAGGGATCTGGGGCAAAAATCTGTCTGGGGATTGGTCCTGCTTTCAGCAGGGGGTTGGACTAGATGACCTCCTGAGGTCCCTTCTAACCCTGATATTCTATGATTCTATGACCCAGAGTCCTGAGCCTTTAGACACAACGATGCCAGTGCCCCATTGCTCTGACCCGCAGCTGCCTGCTGTCCCCATTCTGAGCCTCTTGGGAGCACTGGCTGCCATGTCCCCAGCCCTGTGAGGGGTCTGGGCAGCCCCCAAAGTGTGCCAGGTGCTTTCCAAACCCACCTCAGACAAGGGACTGCCTGGAGGCCTGGCCATTGATTTCACTCATTGCCCACAGCTCTGCGTGTCGCAGCCCCAGCACTGAAACAGCTCATGGGGCAATGCACCTGCTGCTCCCAGGAAGGCCGATGAAGCCAAGTCAACAGTGGGCAGAGGTGGCCAGTCAAAGTGCCCAGCTCAGACTGGCTCCTGCAGCGGGATGCACTGCTTCCCAGCAGCTGGGGCATACGAGCCCAGGCCTGGAGTAGGAAGCTAGGAGGTGCCCAAGCAGATCAGACCCACAACCCACTGCTCCACTTCCCTGACCGCGGCCAGCACCAGCTACTTCAAAAGACAGGGCAGGAAGCTGGCTGGTGGACAATTATTTATTACCCTGCCCCTCAGGGAAACGCCTTCCCGACCCCACCAGTATGTGGTGGGCTCATGCCCAAAGCAGGAGGGTCCCATCTCCTGTAACTATGGGTGTTTCCCTTATCCCTGTGATCTCTAATCCTCCTTAGCTCCTGGCCTTAGTGACATCCTGTGCCAGTGAGTTCCACAAGATAATGACATGCTCATCTTACAAGATGTCCTTTGAGTGGTGTAAATGTGCTGTCTTTTCCCTTGCTCTTGTGTTGTGTGTGTGTGTGTGGTGTGTGTGTGCGTGAGAGCAGTGTGCCATTTACCTTCTCCATCCCATTCTCTACTTGGTACCCTGTATCCTGTCCCCTCTTGACTCCCCTTTACAGCGGACAGATCCATCTTCGCACAGCCGCCTCTCCAGGCCTCCAAGCCGCTTCCAAGCGACGGGCTGTGCCCCGCCGCCCTCCCAGATCAGTTGCACGGGGCCCTGTCCTCAGGCCACCGCCAAACTGAGCTGGCTGTGCACAGGCTGCTGTGGAGCCTGTTCCATGCAGCTGGGGGGCACAGTGCTGCCAGCTGGGCCCCAGTGCAGCCTCTCTGCATGGTTCAAGTGCTGCCCAGGCTCTGCCTGAGCCCGTGGCAGTGGCTACATGTGTTCCTTAGTGTCCTGAAGCATTCTGAGCACTTCTCAAATGGGGCCGCCAGCCCTGGATCTGTTCAGAAGGACTGTGCTCTGGGTCCTTCTCCATGGGCGGCTGGGAGACGCTCCCATCCACACAAACAATCCCATGGTTTACAATTTAAGTGCTCAGTTTGCAATGTTGGCCACCCCATTCCCCCAGAGATGGACGCTCCTTCTGTGAGGAATTCCCCACCCTTTCCCTGAATGCAACAGTAGAGTTAACCAGCCAAAAGGGGGGGGGGGGGAATTATAATGCTCTGGCTGCTCACACAGCCTCACCTCTGCCCCGGGGAACTTCCACGCAGCCTTCAATGACAGGAGCATGTGCTGCTCCTCAGGTACTACAGCAGAATACACGTGATCAGTGATAACAACCCTGCCAGCCGTGCTCCGCTAATAAATCTTCCTGCAAGTCCGTAATGTCTCATGCGGCGAGGACAGCCCGAGATGCTGTGATACGACAGGGCTGAGCCGATCCAAGGGGCAAGGTGCAGGTTTCAGTGCAGACCCATCTCAGCAGTCATTGACTTTGCAGCGCTTAGCTGTACAGCTCTAATGTTGTGTGAACAACATCACCCCACTGGAACGTGCTGAGTGGGGTGAGGGGCCATACTCCCCACACAGGCCCTCAGGGGGCTGAGTTAGGCCAAGTGGGCCCAATCAGCCAATCAGATGGGCCTGCCACAACAGTGCCAGCCCCACTTCCTGAGGTAGGGGTAGGGTTGGCAACTTTCTATTTGCAGAAAACCAAACAGCCTTGCCCTGCCCTGCCCCTTTACCGAGGCCCCGCCCCTTCTCTAGGGCCCCTCCCCCTCCCTCTGTTGCTAGCTCTCCCCCATCCTCACTCACTAGCACATTTTCACCGTGCTGGGGCAGGGGGTTGGGGTGTGGGAGGGGGTGAGGGCTCTGGGCTGGGGATTGGGGTGTGGGAGGAGGTGCAGGATGTGGGCTCTGGGAAGGAGTTTGGGAGTGGGAGGGAGCTCAGGGCTGTGGGTTTGAGTGCGGGGGGGTGAGGGCTCCAGCTGGGGTTGCGGGCTCTGGGGTGGGGCCGGGGATGAGGGGTTTGGAGTGTGGGAGGGGGCTCAGGGCGCGGGAGGGAGTTCGGGGTATGGGCTCCCCACAGTGCTTACCTCAGGTGCGTCCCCGGAAGTGGTGACATGTCCCTGCGGCTACTAAGAAAAGGGGTGGCTAGGGAGGCTCCGCACATTGCCCCTGAGCACCGACTCTGCAGCTCCCATTGGCCTGCATCCGCGGCCAATGGGAGCTGCAGGGGCAGAGCCGGCGCTTGGGAGCAGCTTGCAGAGCTTCCCTGGCCAACCCTGCACTTAGGAGCTGCAGGGACATGTCACCACTTCCTGGGAGGCACCTGAGGTGAGCGCTGCGTGGAGCCAGCACCCTGAACCCCCTCCTGCACCCCAGCCTGCCTGGGGACAACTGGACTTTTAATGGCCTGGTCAGCGGTGCTGACCGGAGCTGCCAAGGTCCCTTTTTGACTGGGTGTTCCAATCGAAAACTGGACACCTTGCAACTCTAGATAGGGGAGAAAGAAGCCGTGGGGAGAGAAGACGGTGGCGGAGAAGCACACCTGAACTGTGCACTGCAGGGAGCTGGACTGGAACCTGGAGTAGGGGTGGAATCTCCATCCTTAGAGGTTTTTAAGGCCCTGGCTGGGATGATTTAGTTGGGGTTGGTCTGCTTTGAGCAGGGGTTTGGACTAGATGACCTCCTGAGGTCTCTTCCAACCCTAATATTCTATGATTCTATGGGCCCGGTTCCCCTCCCAGCTGCTGAGGGAGCAGCATCTGGGGCAATGAATGGGAAGGCAGCCGGGGTCACTGATGGAGTGACACTGTCAGGGCAGTGGGCATGGGGGCTACCTGACACTTTCTGTGACTTTGAAAGACACTCCGGCTGAGGAAACCACGGAGTACGCAGGCCGGAGGGCCGAGCCGCTGAAGGGAGGCTACAGTGCCTGGAACGAGAGAGGGGCCGCAGAGGGAGAAAGCCAGAGCGATGCAGTGCGACTGCTGGAGGGGGCGTTAGCTTGGCAGAGCTAATCCCCAGAACTGCCAGGAGGCGGCACCATCTGTGCTGAGCGGACCCCGTCATGGGGGACACAGCTGGGCTGGAGATCGGCCTGCTCAGTAATCAAACCCCCGCCCAGCCCTTTTAGAGAAGCCTGCAGGTGTTCAGTATTCAGGGCCCAACCCTCAGGACACTGGTGAGCAGAGCCAAGACCCTGCTGATTCCCACAGGGATTGCCACACTTCGACTGCCAAGGCACCAGCTGCATGATGGGAGACCAGACAATTTGGACTTACTGCTAATATGCTGGGCTCCTCACAGGTTAGCTTAGCCTTGGCACACAGCTTGCCTGGGGCTGCAGTTTCCATAGGTTTAAAGTTTTGGAAATAATGTGTCTGAGGCAGCACCCAGGGGCAGCCGTCTGGGTGCCAAATGCTGGGTGTGCCAGCTGCCTCTGGGCATGGCTAATTCATCAGGCATGACTCCAGGGTTAGAGGATTCCTTCTTCATGAGAGGAACAGGTGTCAATGCCCTTCAGGGGCCAGTGCAGCCCCCCACCCCATGGAGAACTCCGAGGCCATCACACGGCTGATACGGGCCCAGTCAGAACGGGAAGCTCAGTGACTCCCTGACCTCTTTCAGGCCCTCTAATGAGCCACAGCTGGAGGGAGCCCAGTAAGGAGGTTACTGACCCGTAGCGGGAGGTTTTTCGAGATGTGTGGTCCCTGTCTGCATTCCACTTTGGGTTACGCATGCACCATGTGCCCGGAACTGGAGAATGTGAAAGTCGGGTCTGCTGGTCCGCACATGTGCCCCGACTCGCCTCGTGCCTCTGACCGAGGGGATAAAGGGTGGGGCAGACCAACTGCTTCTACAGTTCCTTCTCCCCAATCTGCAGCAGAGGGGAAGGAGGGCAGGGAGTGGAATACAGTTAGGGACCATGCATCTCAAAGAACCTCCAGTTACCAGTAAGTAACATCCTCTTCTTCTTCGAGTGCTGTTCCCTACTGTATTCCACCAGGGGTGATTAACAAGCAGTGGGAGGAGGGTGTGAGGAAGCCGA